TTTTCCACAGTGCTCTTGAAGTCATCTCTTAGCTATTTATACAGATTTTTTTCCCTAGAATTAGGCTCGGCCATTCCATAACTTCACATTTTCTTCTGCTGAGGCCATTCTAATGTTAAATAGGCTGCAGGAATATGGATTTCCTGATAAAACTTTATCATTTCTGATATGATACATATATTGCAGCTTTGTGTCAGAAAAATTGATCGGATTAATCGTCATTAATAGATTATTGATATAATTGTCAACTAGTTTAGTAATCGATTAATTGGAGTATAGAGACTCTAAAACATGTCTTTAGCTGACAGAACAACCTGCTTATAGAGCAGGAGTTGTACCAAGATTGTAAAAAAAACAACTTTGCACTTAAGATAAAAAAGAAAAAGAAATGTATCTGTCAGTATGCTCTATTCAGAACTCCTCAAGTGGAAAAGTTTCAGTTTCACCTTTCCCATAGTCTTCTTTAAAGAATCTATGGCTATCTGACTATTAATCAATTAATAGAAGAAATAATCGACAGATTAAGCGATTTGTAAAATAATTGTTAGTTGCAGCCCCAGCGTACTGATCCATACCGATATTGACCCGGTTGGATATTAGCATACTTCTATTACTTATTTTATCGTATGGAATGTTAAAAAAAGGTTTGCTCAAGTGATGTTACTCAAACAGAGAACAATAGCCAACAGCCTTAGGTATGAGAACAACTGATGCATTTATTATGATCCGATGCACTGCATAAACTTTAAACAGAAGCTGATGGAAGCAGAGTGTTTCTATCAGGCGGCTATAATATGATATTTGGCTAATATGGGACCCATTTATAATATCGGCATTGGATCGGGACATTCATAGCTTTTAATCTTCACTAAAACATGACTAAAGCATGCCGTACTTCTTATTTAGGCATTTTATTTTGTGTCGGAACTCAAATTTTGGATGTTGGTATGAGAAATTATCTTGGATTGAATCAAAAACAGAAGATTTAGGACCTTTTTTCAGAGCAGATATGAAAATGAGGTTGTTTTATTGGTGTGACTGGTATCGATGTTTTGATGTAGTGACCTGTAATGTGGGTTAACCTTCATTGTTTACACCAACAGGCTCACATGTTGGCTTTTATTTCTAACTAAAATAGGCCAAATTATCAGCCTCCCTTTGGTTTAGTTGGGTGCTTGTGCTGATAAACTGTATTTATACTAATGTGACCATGAAAGCACCGCAGCATCTCTTGTCTGTTTGTTTAAAAAAAGGATCTCCTTCTTTCAGCTTATGTTTTTGTAAATGAACAGTCCTTGTAATGAATCTCGTATAGTTTACCATCTGATATTATGTCCTGAGAGGATGTCCTTCTATTTTATCACGACTGTAGATAAATAGGCAGGTGGGGCTGGAACATTATGACATGTTCTCTGGATGTTTTCCAAGTTTTTAATGAGGGAGGGGTTGCTGTATGGTCCTCTCTTTCTTCTACTTTGCACATTCTTACAGCTGTACAGCTGTGAGGGTGGGAGGAGTCCTTCGTTTCTGATGAGAGACAGAGCAGAGGAGAGAAAGGGAGGAGGAGGCTGGGCCCACGGTTGAGTAAAAAGAGGGAATCTCACTGGACGTCATCAAAGCTCTTGAAACTTTCGGAGACAGAAGGGCAGCTTTCTGAAATGCAATCTCCCACCTGGTGATAAGGTAGACGCTGTGAGGACTGACCGCCATGCAGGGTCGGACAGTCAAAGCCCCTAAAAGGGAGATGGTGATAGAGAGTCCCCAGCAGTACAAAAGTTTAGCCGAGATTGAGGCAGAGGTTGAAGGAGTACCACAGGTGCCAGTGGTAAGTATACTCCTATTCTGCTTTTTGTTGGGTCCCTCTGAACCAGCTTTAGAGGTCTGTTAAAGGGGCTGACAGGATGATGGGAAGTAGCAGCTTGAGTGAATGCTTCTCAAGAGAGCTGATCTTTTTTTGGAAATGGAGCACTTGTTGCTTCTTTTGTTCTTTAACCCTTTTTAGATGCCAGACTTCAACAGTCCTGCAGCTAGAAGGAAACGTTTCTTTAAATTTCTATTCTTCTTAAATTACAAATGGATATTTTAGCTTTGCATTAGAGTTGATTACCAGCAGGTCACCCTGGTAAGCCATTGAGTTCACAGCTGCTTGTCCGACTGGCCCATGTCCCGTTAGAAACTGGAACTTATAATGTGATGCTTATCAGACCATCTTTCCCATCCAGAGGGCTGAGAAAAATTGAGGGGATCTCTGCATTGCATCACTGGGAAAATGGCCTGAATAAATCAAAACTTAAATCTACAGCCAGACATGTGTTTAATTGGCCTCATGTGTTGAATCTAGTCCAAAGGTCTAACCCAAATAAAATGAATCAGTCCCATTTCTAAGAGCAACATAACTCACTTATTATGTAGTTCCATGTTTTGATCTTTTTCCTGATAAACTGTTCTTATTAACCTTTGTTTGGCGATAATGGTTGGAGCAGTTGGATCCCCTCATAGTTTCTAGAACACTTGCCTCTAGAAAATTTTCCCCTCCTAGATAGACGTACTTCCACATTCGGGTATCAAACAGCCTTTCCATTTTTCAGTTTGAAGGTTGCTGGTTATATGTGTCACGATTTGGTTTTGGATTGTTGACCCAAAAGCAGAGGCAGGAAGGCAGAGGTGAATTTCTTTGAGATTTAATGAAAGGGAAACTGAAAACAGAGGCAGGTTGTCCAAAAATCCAATAAAGAAAACACAAAGACCCAAAACAAACAGGAAACCAGGAATCCAAAAAATCAAACATGAAAACAAGTCAAAACGAACCAGAAACCATGGTAACATCAGGGGGATCATCATCAAAACCAGGAAGGCTCAGAGAGACAGAGTTGGAGGAAGTATGACGAAGTTAGACGAGGACCCAGCAAAGAGGAACTGAAGAGAGAGGGCTTTTAAAGGAGACTGAGACAAAGAGGGGGCTAATGAGCAGACTGGGAACAGGTGAGCACAGAGCAGAAACAAAACAGGAGCTAGGGGAAAAGGAGAACACAAGAGGGCAGCAGAGGGCAACAAATGAAAGACCTGGAAGACTAGAAATAACTAGAAAACACAACAAAATAAAAATTAAACCACTAAGACTATAAAACAAGGAGCAAAGTAAAACTAAACACTCAAAAGAAAAGATAACAGAACCAAAACTGAGACAGTAACTGAGAGAAACCAAAATAACACAATAAACTAAGAATTAAACCATTAAAAAAACTATGAAACGAAGAGCAAAGCAAAACTGAAAATCAAAAGAAAAACATCACAGAAACAAAAACCTAACAATATGAACCTCAGTCATTATCCTGTAGGTGACTCAACTGGTCGGTAAAACGTATAAAACCACAATAAGTTCCAACCTCTTGTTTTTTCCCATGATGCATCACTCTGTATGGTTTTTGTAATATTATATATGGCATGATAAATCTGGAACAGTTGGCGGTGTTGTTCTGCGTGTCCCAATCAAAGATTTGTGATGATATTATTGCAGAAATGTGAAGATTTCTTTTGTAGCGAACCAATCAGTTAGCTGACAGGAAAGCTTCTAAAGTCAGTAATAGATGACCAGGCGACTGCGTTCTAAAAGCATCCGTTAGTGGGAGGTCCACCCAAACATTACAACACAAGCGAAACAAAAACAAAACAATAAAGATTAGCTTCTAACACTCCTTTGTTGCTCTTCTGTCAATGATCATCAGCAAAACAAGGCTGAAGTTTTCAGACTTGTCAAAATAATCTTTTATCTACCCGACATATGCACATCGGAAATGTTGCATCAATTAGCTATTAATCACTTTACCCCATATAATGCTATTAGGCGTGGGAAAAAAATTGATATGGCGATATGTTGCAATTTTTGGCAGGCCAATATGATATTGATCTTTCAGCTCTTAATATCGATTTTAAAAAGCTAACATTTTTACATATAACACTTGGTGGAAATAAGCTACTTTTGTGCCATTGTTGCGGTAGATGGCGCCATGGAGTCCTTTTGCTCTGCAGCGCTGCAGTATTTCTGTAGTAGATGCAGATGTGGACTGACTTAAACCTGCAGAAATAACAGATCAATACCTTCTGATGAACATATACAGCATGGGCCTTTTTATGTCTGCATGTAATTTTGCTATTATCTGAATAGCATATTGCAATGTATCGTGATAATATTGTGTTATGACCCAAATATCGTGATTGTATCACCCTTTTCAATATGCTACACCACACTTGCGCCCTGTCTGCATTGGTACACACTTGTCTGCACTTCGACACGACAGTGTAGCCTATTGGAGCTTTGAATTGTCATGTTTGGATCCTTTCGTTAAAATAAAAAAGAAAATAAAAAAGCAATATTATGACGCCACAGTAAAACTTGCTTTATTTTCTGACTGTTAGTTTTGGCATTTTTTATCCCAGTAAAC